TGCTTGTATGGTACCACTATTGCTTCTATGCTTGTCATGATCTAGTGGTAGCATATGACATGTTTGTGGGCTTGTTAACCTAGTGTTTAATCTAGAAAATGAGCTATAAGTGTTTAACTCAACATTGTCAAGTTAACCCTTGAAAAGAGGCGTGAAGAAGCTTGCCATTGAACCAAACCAAGTTAAATATCTTTTGCAAGTAATCTAGATTGAACCAAACATGGGAAAATGATCCTCACTTCACATGGTTTCACACCAACCTATCTAAAATTTGAGCTCACCTTTCGTGTTAATTAATGACAAAGGGGAAGAGAAATTCCCAAAGATAATAAAAGGGGAGATGAATTACAAAGATAGATAGGGGATTGACAAAGGAAGGGGATCAATTAAAATTTGAAGCACACAAGTAGGGAGAGCAAGCTCATAAACTTGTATGTTGCATTTGTATGTGCATTACATATGTTTGCTTGCATGGCATAAGTTTTAAATTCTATATCCATGCTTATGTGGTGTATGCTAGATGGTAGAAAATGATTGATGAAATGAAAACTAGCATGCATAGGATCGCTAGACACTTGAATTGGTTTTACAAGCGGTACTAGAGCTTTGCTTATAATATTGATCTCACGAGGTATGTAGTGTTTTTAGTTTTAAAGTGATATCTAGCAAACCATGGTGCTAAGCATGGTGTTCAAATGGCAACTCCGATTGGTATCACGCTTCAAAGGTCCATTCTTTACACCTTAGCATCATTTGGTAGTCATTACTCTCTCAATCTTCCTAATCCATGCATATGTGCAAGCTTTCAAATCCAAACTCATAGCACATATGTATGGGGAGCTAATGTTATCAATTTGGGTTTATGAAACTTGTCCATATCCTTTACACATGGTAAAATACTTGGGCAAGCAATATGAATCCAAAAAGATTTCATTGAATATCTTTGTGAAAAGGTTTTTATCAATTACCAAAAAGGGGGAGATTGAAAGCCCTAGTTTGGTTTTGGATAATTGATAAAACCTACATGAACTAATCCTTGCATCTAAATGTGTGACTAGATAGGATGGTCCAATCTAAGTGGTGGAGCAAGTGATGAAGTCCATAGAGATGGAGATGGACATGTGATGATGGTGATCAATCTCCAACTTGGAAAAGAAGAAAGAGAAAAACAAAAACCAAGTGTTGATCAAGGCAAAGATATCAAATAGGTTTTTGTTTTGATGATCAAGACACTATAGAGAGTGTGATCATATTTAGGATCGATAGCCGTACTATAAAGATGGGAAATCTTTGGCTAAGCGGTTATCGAGCGCCACTGTTGATGGTCACTAACACCTATTCTGACCATCAACATTCCACCCAAAAGCATGATAAAGTGAGGTAAAACATCATCACATGTGTTGCATTTTGTTTATAATTCACCTAGTTCCACTTGTGCTTGTAGAATTATTTGTATGCAGGAAATTATAGCAAAAATGGCCCAAAATGGTTACAAATATGAACATAGGGAGCAATTGAATGTGGCAGGGGGACTTGGGCCCACTTGGCCATGCTGGCCCGCCCCACAAGGGCGCTGCTCGGGGTGCCAGGTGGCCTAGCCATGTCACCGATCTGTGGGAGCTGCTCCACAAGCCTTCCGATGCATTGATCCAATGTCGGTTTGAACTAAATGATAGGATGGAGTGGTCTAGGATCCATGGGTCCACTGTCATGGACTTGGAGCCCTCCAATCGACCTTGGAACCACCTTACCTGCCAAATTTTGACATGTGCTGGCTTCACAACCGCCTTTGGGAGCCAACCAAGGCCCTACGATCTAGAGGCGATGATATCCAATGCCGACCAGCGCCCCTACCATGGCACCCGGTGCCCAAGTTTGCTCCACCGACCTTCTACGCTGCCTATAAGTACTCCCATTGCCTCTAGACACTATAAAAGGGGCAGTGGTGCTCGGTGGAGAGACACCATCTCATTCCATCACTCCATGTGAGAGTAGAAGCTAGACGAAGCTATATAGCTCTACTACTTAGAAGTAGAAGATAGGGAGAGAGTGAGGAGAAGCTTGGGGAGGAGCCGAGGTTCTGTCGGCATCCTCTCCACTTGTGCTTTGGCGGATGAAACTCTTGTTCGAGTGACGTCCGGTATCTTCTCTGTGGTAACTCTACTCTTTTACATTACTTAAGTATTATTTATATTATTGTGTTTACTTGTTTCACCGCTTGGTTCGGGTGCTCTAATCTATTAGCTAGGATTAGAGTAGTGAGTTTATAGATTAAGAGTGGTGCTTAGGCTATAACTTACTTGTGTTTGCGGCTAGGCGTCCAAATAGATTGTGGTAGGTGATAGGTGATGACAGCCATGTACATCCTCTGTATTCCACCACGATAGGTCTAGTTATTAAATCGTAGGGCTCGTGGTAGACCTTGTCTAGTTATCTCTCCTAGGTTGCTAGGTGGGCTATGCCCCAAAGTAAATAACCGTGATATAGTCTTCTTAAGTCTTGTCTTAGTTCATAGAAACCACATATATCCTCTCTATCTATTACTTTTACCCTTGGACACTCTTAGTTCTTAACTAGTCCACTTCACGTTCCCCATGGAAATTTGATACCTTGGAATACTCCTAGGTGAAAGCTACATTGACATCCGTGCGCTTGCAGATTTATCTGTTTGCCATATCTAGTGCCAACAAGCTTTCTGGCGCCATTGTCGGGGAATGGTAGCTATTCTAGTTTAGAACCGAGTCATCCAAGTATCTTTTATCCTTTATGTTTCATACCATGAATCGCATTCCTATTATTCAATTCGCTGCTCCAAAGGGTGCTAGTTTGGAGCCACCTCCATCATCAAAACCTATCCTCACCCATAGTTATGAAATTCGCCCTTGTTTCATAACTAAAGTTCAAGAGCTATTTTTTTCTGGGGAAAAGATGAAAATCCATATGCTCATCTATGAGAGTTCGAGCAAGTGTGTTCATGCCTTCACATTTCGGGCATGTCACCTGAAACCCTTAAGTGGAAGCTATTTTTGTTCTCTTTGATGGGATCAGCCAAAATGTGGTATACTCGAACCGTAGAGAGTGCACAAGGAGAGTGGGAAGTTCTTCAAGCCAAGGTTTGCTTAACGTTCTTTCCCATCGCCCGAGTAGTTCATCTTCGAAGAGAGGTCCTAAATTTCAAGCAAAGGGAGAAAGAATCCCTAGGTGTTGCATGGGCCTGTTTGATGGATCTTTATTTATCTGACCCTGATCTTGCTATACCCGAACCTATACTTTTGCAACACTTCTATTTGGGTCTTAGTAAGAAATCTGCACAATTCCTTGACATTGCTTCAAGAGGAGCCTTCTTACATCTTAGTGCGGGGAGAGCTATTCTCCCTAAATCGAACTAGATTAACCTTCTTTAATGTTGTTTAACTGAAGTTCTCACTAAACTGAAGCACAGCCAAATGCCACAAGTATAATATATGCAGACAACATCACAAGGAGAAAACAACATAGGTTAACCTTGATTCTGGAACCAGGAAGCTCCTCACGGGCCCTTCACCTCCACCGTGGATCCACAGTCACGGCCTTCTCCGGATTTGGTGTCGCTGCCTCCGACAGACATCCCTTCACCTCCGATGTGGATCTTGGTGTCGCTGCCTCCGACGGACATCCGCTGCTCGTAGGCGTCAAGTAGGGGCAGCAGAAGTGTGTTTCTCGTTGGAGACTAAGGAGGACCCGAGTGGTGTACGGGGGAGCCACGGCTTCCTGTCCGTGCCCGTGGCAGAGACCTGCTGGCGGCGTGGGGTGGAGGAGCCACACGGGAGCCACGGCGGCATGGAGTCACGAAGGGGTGGTGTGGGGGCGGACTGGGAGGCGCGGCGTGGGGCAGGGCGCGGAGGGGCGACGTGCGAGCGGACAGTGCGGCGTGGCATGGGGGAGGGTGCGAAGGGGCGGCGTGGGGAGGGCGCGGAGGAGCGGTCGGCGTGGGGGAGTGCACGCATGAGCGGCATGGGGGAGAAGGAGCAGTGACCTGGTCGCAACTCGAAAGATTGCGGCGCCTGGGGAGGGACCGTGTGGGTGCAGCCAGGGATAGGGTTTGCCTTCTTTTTTTTCTTTTTTTTTCCTACCTGATGAACGCGCCTCTTAGGCTCAGATACAAGCAGGAAAGGAAATTTCTGGTGGACCGAAAGCCCACCTCTCCATCTTTGGAGAGGCATAAGGAAAGTTCTGGCGGGCTTTTGTTCCCAATCATCAAATGCTTTCGCGCCTCGTAGATAATTTCCCTATGTGTAATTTCAATAACCGTCAGGGAAAGTACAAAAAACCACCATAATAATATTTATTTTTTGGGAGTTATTGAAAACCCGTCAGGGTAATTAATTATCCTATCAGTTTCTTAAACTCACAGATTAATAAGATTTTTCCCGTTACGGATTTTGCTTGTGTGTGTTTTGGGAACCATCAAAAAAATATTTACCCTGATGGTTGACACAATAATCATAAAAAAAAACTAGAACCATCAGGGAATTTTGGCTTTCCAGCAGTGATTCCATCTCGGATGAGTCCCATTTTTCCTTTGGAAAGGACGACAACTAAAAGTAAAGGGATTTATTAGATGCATTTTTAAATTCATCTTTCCTTGGTTCATTTGGATAACTGCAACTGCATATACACATGGACGTACTTAGCTCCGAAGGCATGAAGGTGAACTGGCCGGGGACGGAGTCATTTTATATGTGAGGAACTCCACAAGTCTTCGTCTTCGCGTCTAGGATGGTTGAGTCTATGGGCACACAGTGAAAGCGACCACCAGATGCTGCAGCATAGATTCGTACCAATCCCTTGCAGGGAGCCTCGGCCCTGTCTGTGTCTCTATAAATACAACAATGCTGCGCAACAACTTTGTCACAAAACAAGCTAGCTACTTGGTCTCCAGCTGCTAACATATACATCAGCAGGCTGCGTGTAGCTACAAGTCGATCTTGTGCCCGAAAGCAAGAAGAAGAAGAAGAAAGATGACCACTGCTGCCGTCAAGCTCCTGACTGTCCTGTTCTTCTTCTTTGCCGTTTCTCTTCGGGGTAAGCCAGCCTTGCAAATCCTCCAGCTGATTGTGCAAACTTTTCACTAGCGGGTATGCATGTTTGCATAGAGGAAGTTTTGATAGATGCCGTAGTATATTATATTGATATATGCATCATCTGTACACATTATTCCTTGGTACCCACAGAGTACTGTTATGCTAATCATTGGTCATATTCCTGAAAGATTCCAGCATTTGTTAACTAATTACGTACTCAGCAACAGCTACCAACGGCGAGTCATGCGGCACGTCCAGCATCCAGGTGCAGACCATGAACACGGGCGCGAGGGCGGCCGGCGGCGACACGGTGTTCGAGGTCCAGGTGAAAAATCTGTGCCCATGCAGCGTCAGGAACGTGCGCGTCGACGGTGGCGGCTTCGCGACGACGGTGGAGGTCGACCAGACCCTGTTCCAAGCCGTCGACGGCGGTGTCTACCTAGTGAACGCCGGCGAGCCCATCCAGAGCATGGGCGCCGTGAGCTTCCGTTACGCCTGGGACCACTTCTTCCAGATGACTCCCAGGAGCTTGGAGGTCGAGGGCCAGTGCTAGCTGCCACCAAAGTCGTCGCAAGCTAGTTGCCATCGCCATGCACGTTGGGGTTAATCATCTTAGATATACAGTGTTAATTCTAAAGCGTAAGTACCGTGTAAAATGGTGTTAGAGAGGACGAAAAACTGTCTTCAGCTCTAGCAGTCTATATAATAATTTTGCTTATGTGACCAAGGAACATGTGTACGCTAAATATAGATAAGCATGGCTTAACATAATCAGTAAAGTGTTCACGTTCCTAGAGCAAGCATCCGAATGGAGTATTATGTAGATGATCGTACAAACACTATGATTATATATAAATTCTCACAGTTTGGCAGCCTAACGTCAACATTATGCTGCCTAGATGCTTGCATAATTTTTCTCCTTTGAGACCACTGATTGCTTTGTTTATTTTTTTTTTCTTTTAACCCTTTTTAACTTATTTTTAAAAAATAATCCATGCTTATTTTTATTTTTATTTCTAACCATTTTGGTCGCGCCAACGCCTTTGGCACAATTGGAAAACATTGCCACATCACATGCACTGCGTGCGGCAAGATATGTAAACTCTAGAACATGAAAATCTGACGTGGAAAGCTTGTTAAGCAATTCCTGTAGGCATGGCAGTATTACTTTGCCGCACCATGGCAAGCTACATCTTAAAAAAAATAATATCTTTTTTATACAACGCCAGACGGAGACAGTTTTTATGAGAAAAATATAACTCTAAGATTTGTAACTTTCTAATTTTGAGTTTTTTTCATTTAAAGTCGTTAAGATGTCCAAAATATTAATACAAAGTTTTAGCAACATATTAAGTGTGTACCGGAGCTTATCCCCTTAAAAAATCATATCTTTTGCATACGACGTCAAATGGAAATGATTTTTATAAAAAATTATAGCCCTCAACGAGATCTACAACAACCTTATAGTTTTGGATTTTTTATTTGCTAAGATGCCTAAAAATTTATATAATACTGACGTTGTGTAAAAAATTATAGCTCTAACCTATGTATGACAAGCCACACAATAGTAGAAGAATAACTGCTTCGTGTAGCTAAGTCCTACTAATTAAAGCAGGCAGCAGAAAAGAAATACATCTGGAATAATCTGTCAGATGTTATCCTTGATCCCGCCGCTGGGTCTACGCTTTTATACGTAATATGTATTTATATACTTCTCTCCACAGAAAGCCATAGTAATACATGCACATATATATATTGCTGATCAGTCGCTAACAAGTACAGTAGTATAACTTAGCGAACCTGCCAACAGCATAGTAGCAGATCAGAGAGCATCTGCATATATATCTGAAAGAGCTGGCCCAAACGTGTGCTGCTCTACCAGTCTACCCAATCCATGTATATATTCAATCAATAATAATGGGATCGCTAGATGCTCACGGTTCATAAATGAGTGATCAGGATGAAAGACTGGTATCACAACCGGAGACCGGCTCTTTGCCGAGTGCCAAGTGGATTGCCGAGTATTTTTTTTCGGGCACTCGGCAAAGAGCTTCTTTGCCGAGTGTTTTTTTTGCTGAGTGTTTTTTTTGTTTTTTTGACACTCAGCAAAGAAGCTTCTTTGCTGAGTGTTTTTTTTTTGACACTCGGCGAAGAAGCTCTTTACCGAGTGTTTTTTGTTGACACTAGGCAAAGAAAATTTCAAAGCATATTTTGAAACAGTAAACTAATTCAAATGAAAAAGTTTTCAACTATAAAGTTGTATAACTCATCAAGATGTATAATATTTGTTTTGGTCTTTTCTTCATATGACAAAGTGAAAGTAAATTTGTTCACAAATCTAACATATCTCTCTTGTAGTTTATGAAAATACAAGAGATATATAAGATTTGTGAACAATGTTAGAACAATCATGTCCGATGAATAGATGATCAAACAACCAAAATAAACTTTGTAGATCTCGAAAAGTTATGAAACTTTGTAATTGACAACTTTTTGATTTGAAATCACCTTGTCATGCAAAACTGTGTTTGAATTTCAAAAATTTAAAATTCAAACTTTTCAAATGACCTCGGATGGAAAAACAACCAAAATAAACTCTGTAGATCTCGAAAAGTTATGAAACATTGTAGTTGGTAACTTTTTGATTTGAAATCATCTTGTCATGCAAAACTGCGTTTGAATTTCAAAATTTTGAAATTCAAATTTTGTAAACGACCTCGGATGGAAAAACTTCCTAAACTAAAAGTGTAGATCTCGAAAAGTTATGAAACTTTGTAGTTTACAACTTTTTTATTTGAATTCGTTTAGGGACTCAAACAAACAATTTACACTCGGTTTAGTATAATATGTGGGGAACCAAAACGAAATCTAGATATAGGTGGCAGTGTGGTGCAGTGGTTAGAGGAGGGGATGCGTGATGGAGAGGTCGCCGGTTCAAATCCCGCCGGCCTCGTAGCCACGAATTTTACGCGAAAAATGCTGGAGATGGGCAGGCACTGGCCGGTGGGGGCCTCCACCGATTAAAAAAATTCCTATTTTTTTCGGGTTTTTTTCGGTTCTAACTTTGCCGAGTGTTACCGAGTGCCCGACAAAAACACTCGGCCAAGACGCCTTTGCCGGCCCATTTTTTGCCGAGTACAAATTAGGCTTTGCCGAGTGCTAGCCACTGAGTCCGGTAGTGTATGTGGTATGTGAACAATTTCGTAAGTTCTTTATGAAGAACATATGCTAGTACCGTGAGTTTTATCCATGTGCCAAATCCACATGTCTTTTTTCTATGACAAGACAAAAGTTAAACTGTCGGTCTAAGTATTAACAACAAAAGGAGTAAACTAATAAGAAACTGTCCAAACACTCGACAACATGACAACCACCCACGCAACCTTGGCAAAACCATACAACAGACCATCACAATCGAAGTCGTACGCAAAAACCTATAAGGATCAGTGCCCACGATCGTATCCTTTAATTTTGATGATTGAGATAAGATAAGCTTAGAACTAGCATTTATGACGTGTGAGGGATGCAAAAAACAAAAGAAATGACACAAAGACCGGCGATGAAAATGGAGTAAAAAGGACTTCGTAGTCAGAAGATGCACACAACGGATGGTCCGCCGGTGGCTAAGAAAATCCACATGCCGGACAGCTAGCTGAGGAGCCAGTTCATCAGACAGTGTCAAGTGCTAAGGCACTGTGCAGTTCTACAGGCCGGATAGTCTAGCCAGAAAAAAAGAAAGAAATGCTTGAAGACAGAAGCGCCCCAGGGGAATTATTCCCTGCCAGAGTATTGACCGCACGATTGGGTGAGAAGACTGTTGGAGTCTAGAGGCATGGCCATGGTGTGACTCTGTAGTAGTGTACGCCGGGACGATCTGATGAGAAAAATGAAAACATGGTGGATCATCCAGTGCTGCTCACAGAAGAAGTGTAGAAGATTACATGCATCGGATGATCAGGCAGAAAAAGAGAGGCGCATTAGACCATCGGACAGCTGGAAGAAGTTAACAGCTAGTAGTATCATAGTATACCGTGCGTTATCTTCGGTAGATGTGACCCAGCTGAAGGGGAAAGAAACCAAAGAACAAGGCGATTGGCGATGGAGGTCTCCGTCCATGGCGATCTTGCTAGGGCCTGACGTCCATGGCTGCCCCTGTTTTCAACACGCAGCCTGGCCGGGTGGTCGAGGCTGAGATCCTTCATCTGTATGGCTCTTCTGTCAATGGTGACCCCTCTTCCACAGCTAAGGATTTCTTCCTCTTTCTCTCGGTGGGACGTTGCAAGTTCCGTCTCTCTGTGCATTTGATTGAGTTTCTTCTCCAAGCTGTTATTGGTGGTTTCCCTAAAGCTTTCAGAGTGGTGCAGTTGGATGATAGAGTTTCCAGGTTTTCAATGGCTTCTCATCAGGTTGGCTTCCATATCTATAATCTTCGTTCTTTCAAGTGCCATGATTTTAAGGTCTTCTTCCATCTCTAGCACGACAGAGGCCCCAATTATAGAGTTGAATATCGCAATTGGTGCATCGAACAAGCTGCAGAGTGGAAGGAGGTTGCTAAGCACAAGTCAGTACGTCTCACTAGTGCAAACTCCATCCCCATCTCTACTCATCGTCTTCCTGCTTCGAGCTCTAATTCCATGGAGTTTTTAAATTTAAATTTGCCAATTAATTCTGGTTGTAAATCTTTTTTAAGAGAATCAATTATCCTATCAATGAACCTTTTAATCATAAGGCTGTTTCTATATCAAATGCGGGTATTTTGGGCCCATTCTAGATCCTAGCAGAGTTATTCCTGGTTGTGGGCCTCTATTGCAGCTTTGCTCCAATTGTTTGTCACCGGCCCATTCTCAGTCTGTATGTAAGAGTACAACGCGCTGCTAGAGATGTCTCGGCGTTGGGCACGTTTCTGGAATTTGCAGACTCTTGCCTCGATCCTTGCGTCTTTCCTACAAGCCGAGCAGCCCTTCGAATTCTATTAATCATCACTCCACTCGGTCGCTGAATGGTGGACTTCAACACAATACGCCGAGATTTTTTTCACTCTGTCTCTAAATACATTAAAGTTTTGGCCGGTATTCAATCCATCTCTTTACCATCCCTTGGCATCGACCGTGGAGGCTCAAGGCTCCTGAGTTGGACGACTGTGACCTTTCCTCCTCTTCCCTACTTGGGGTGATGCCGACTACCTTGGAGCCGTCGCCGATCATCTTCTCGACGTTTGGTGAGTACGCATCTCGAGTTATTGGAAATCATCATTTGCCTTCACTGTTCACATTGCTTTGTCTCTGAAAACCCCAATTGATGCTATAGTAACTCTAGATTTAGCCACTATGGCGTATCAGTTTGTTGATCTTGCACCTTTCATGCCTGATTGGGGTCAACGAGTGATGGTTCCTGGTCGGCCTGTTATGCATAGGGTTGTTACTGGTAGGCTGCAGCGGGTTAACAATGATATGGCCATCGCATTCATTCACCCTCTTCCACAAGAACAAATCAACTTCGATGATATATGTGGTACTCTGGCGAAGTTTTTGAATGTGCAGATGGGCATGCCGT